CAAGCTGAGACAGGAGGGTGTGACTGTGAGTTGAGGCAGCTATTGGGATCCACAACTTATCCATGCAGAAGTCATAGCCATTGCCCTTGTCCAATAGGTACAAGGTTATTGCGCCAACTGCAGATGAGGACAAGCACTGTGGGAGGCTGAATGAACTGACCAAAACGCTGTGATCTGGGGTGGGGGGGAAAGGAGAGAAATGTATGAGCAATAGGGGTAACATAGTTAGGAGAACAGAAAATTTCTCTATCGCAAAGACAGAATCCTGTATACTAGTTTGCCTGCCTGACGCCAAAGTTCAGGAGAAATCCTCTTTTAGGCTGGAAAAGAACTTGAAGTGGGAGGGGAAGGGTCCAGTTATCATGGCCCATGTAAGTACTAATGATATTGATAGGAGTAGGAAAGAGGTTCTGCTGAGGGATTGCAAGCAGCTTGGCTTCAATTTAAATACAGAACCACAAAAGTAATAATCTCAGGATTACTGCCTGAACCACACGGAAATTAACTGAGAGTAAATGAGAGTGGAGAGGTAAATGCATGGCTTAAAGATTGGAGTTAGAAAAATGGGCTCCAATCCATGGGACATTGGCACCAGTACAGAGCAAAGAGAGAGCTGTTCTATTGTGATTGGACAAAAGTCTTTGACAAACAAATGGGACTGAAGGCAGGCAAGTTGATGGTTGCAGCTTGGACTCTACCTCTTCGACTCTGAGCTGAAATTCCTTGAGCAGCTAACGCTTGCTCCAGATGTGGTCAGTGTGCACTCAGCCCCACCAGCTCCCACATATTACAGATGCAACACATCACCTGTACAGCTATCTCTATCTCTATCCTGTTAAATTAATTTGCATATTAAATATTTTAGAAGTGAATTTCCTAATTATACCCTTCAACTTTCATGACGCATCTGATTTAACCTACTTGACCAATCTAATGAGAGATAGAAATACCCACCATTCATCTCCCCTCTTTGCTGGACTATCATACTCTGGCTCTGACAGGAAGAAAAAGGATGAAGGGACTGTGTGCCACCAGTTTTTATCTCCCACCACTGACCTTCTCTCTCAGGTCCACTAGTCCCAGTCTGCTTCCCAGTGATACTGACCTACTACAATCCTCCCCATGGGGTGAGGTGAGACTCACGAGGTGAGCTCCTTTATGTAAACTAACCCTAGAATGCTTTCATCACTGCCAATGCTTGACTTTTCCAATAACAAAACTCAGATAATCCTGAATTTCCTTCATCTGAACACGGATAGGGTGAACAGCCAGGTCTTTTCCCCAGGGTAGGAGAGTCCAAAACTAGAGGGCATAGGTTTAAGGTGAGAGGGGCAAGTTTTAAAAGGTACCTAAGGGGGCAACTTTTCCAAGCAGAGGGTGGTGCAAGTATGGAATGAGTTGCCAGAGGAAGTGATGGAGGCTAGTACAATTACAACTTTTTAAAAGGCATCTGTACAGGTACATGAATAGGAAGGGTTGAGAGGGATATGGGCCAAAAGCTGGCAAATGGGATTAGATTTATTTAGGATATCTGGTCGGCATGGAAGGGTTGGACTGAAGGGTCTGTTTCTGTGCTTTACAGGTCTATAACTCTATTTGGAAAACCAAAGTCATCTGTCTGGCATCCACCAAGGATGCTTTCTCACTCCATGGTCTCATCCCACCCTACCCGTGTAACCTTGTCCTACCTTAAACCCTCTCCTGTACCATCCAGCCCTCTGATGGTCTATCCTGCCAAGCATCCTTTTCCTCAACTTCACTGGTAGTGACAAAGTTGGCAGTTATTGAAGTCCCATTCCTCGGAACTCGAGCTCAGCAAAATTCTCATCTCAACTGTGGCACTGATATGGAGACCAGTATTATAAACAGGAAAACTATTCAAATTTCAGCCAGCCTTTTTGCAGTCTTGGGAAAAAAAATCAATGATGAAAATAAACAATTCAAGACAACTTTAACTGAATTATTTTAAAAAGAAAATAAAATTATTGAAGATAAGGTA